CATGATTTTTCTTGTTTTTTTTGCTGCTGAAATAGTTATTTTTGCTGCTGAAAGGACTTCAGCCTTCCCAATGAGACAGTAGATATTATTTCTCACAAGCAATTTGACAGCTATATGCTTCTGAGATTTATGAATGACTAGATTGTATTGTTGCGTGCCTTCAAGTAATTTCTGACTTATGGCTACCCTAAAGTGAATCTATCACAGGATTTTCTTGGCAAGATTTCTTCAGATTGGGTTTGCCTTTGCCTTCCTTTGAGGCTGAGAAAATATGACTTGCCCAATGCCACAGTGGGTTTCCATGGCCAAGTGGGGATTTGAACCCTGGTTTCCAGAGTTGCAATCCAGTGCTCAAACTACTACAACAAACCTGGCTGATTAGATAGTTCACATTATATAAAGAAAAGTATTAGGGAAAGGCATTGGTGTTGCTGGAAGAAACTACTACTCACCTATCTCCTATACTGATGGCATTCCATTATGGAAAATGAAGAAGGGTCACATAAAGTGGGAGCAGCTGGAATAATATAAATAGATATTCTATAGAACTCTTAAGTGTAACAGAATCCTTGGTGTTTGTAGCCAGTCAGTTTCCATTCATTCTCAAGGACACTTCACATATGGTTTTGTAAATAAAGGTAGAATGGATCAGCAGGATTAAAAGTGAGATTTTTTTGGTGCATGTACTCATGTGATAGTAGTTCTAATTGAAGTTTAGAAAAAGTTACATTTTGAAATATAGCTCCAAACAATCCCAAGCCAATAGGGCCTGTGGCTACGGTTCTGATGTGCATTAATAATTGTAAATTCATATCAGAGGGTGTGTATGTGTTAACTAATCTGTGTTGAATATATGTGCTCATTAGTATGTACTCATACTGTGGCTGAATTGTCTGTATAAAGATATATTGTCTGTATAAAGATGTATTTCATAGGGCCAGGATGTAAGATTTCCATATTATGACTTCTAGTCCATGTGCTGTTGTTGTTAACTGCCCTCAAGTCAACCCTGACTTATGGTGATCCTGTGGATGAGACATCTTCAAGCTCCCCTGTCCTCTACTGCTCTGCTTGGGTCTTGCAAATTCATACTTGTGAATTCCTTAATTTAATCTGTCATCTAGTTTGTGGTTTTCCTCTCTTTCTACTTCCCACCACCTTTCCTAGCATTATTGTTTTTTTCTGATGAGTCATGTCTTCTCATGATGTGGCTAAATTATGATAGCCTCAGTTTGATCATCTTGGCTTCCAGGGAAATTTCATGCTTGATCTGTAAAAGGACCCATTTGTTTGTCTTTTTTGGCTGCCCATGGTATCCTTAACACTCTCTCCAGCACCACATTTCAAATGAATTGAAATTCTCTAGTCCAGGTGTAGGCAACCTTTCCCCTTTAAGGGCCGAGGGACTTCAGCTGCCAGAAGCCTCAGCCATGTTGGCCAATAGTCCCATGTTGGCCAATAGCTCCTGGGATTCTGGGAGCTGAAGTCCCTCGGCCCTTAAAGGGGAAAGGTTGCCTACCCCTGCTCTAGTCTATATGAACCTAATAACATATTGCTATTATTTCAGTTCAGGAAAACACAATCAAAGAACTCACAACAGATGACCATCCATCCTCTGTTTAAAAACCTCAGAAGAAGAAGACTTCATCACATTTTGAGGAAGTGTGTTCCATAGTCCCCTGTATTTTTAACATCTACATGAAGCTACTGTGAGAGGTCATCCAGAGCTTTGGGACTGGGTGTCATAACTATTGTTTGGATTCAGTAAAGGACTGGATTTAGGTGAACAAACTGAGGCCACAACAGTTTGTGTCTTACTTCCATCTCAATTAGTCTGTTATGTGATGTAGGTGCAGCTGACCTTGAAAAGTGTTCTATGCAGGGCCCATGCTAATCTTCTCTATATTGTTCCAATTTTAGTATATGTGCTGCTGAAGTGAGCACATATAGAAGAAAGCTTCTATAATTGGGTCACAGTATTGTACAAAGAATAAAAAGCTCAAGTGATAATTAATGGGGAAAGAACAAAATGTTGTGAAGTACAAACTGTTGCGAAGTACAGAAAGGCAATAATGATGATAATAATAATAATAATAATAATAATAATAAAATGTAGATCAATGTACAAAAATACAGTATATAAAAGCACAACATATTAATAAATCAACAAATAAACACAATAAAATGTAATAATATCCAATACAATAAATAACCAATCGTCATATAGCACCTGGGAGACCATATAAGATAGTACTTATTTAACTTTAAGATTCATTGAGATCAAGTGGATAGGCCCATTGGAAGAGCTCCGTCTTAAGTGCCTTCTTAAAGGCTTCTAACGTAGTAATCAGACAGATCTCTTCCAGTAGACTGTTCCATAGCTTGGGGGCTGTGGCTGTGAATGATCTTTGGGAAGTTGATCTCAATCTAGTTTTATAATAATCTAATAAATTCTTCCCAGATGTTCTGGGAGTGCAGGGCGGATTGTGTGGGGAGAGGAGTTCCTTCATGTAACTCAGACCTAAGTCATGTAGGGATTTAAAGGTAATGACCAACACTTTGTACTGCGCCTGAAAGCTAATCGGCAGCCAATGAAGAGCTTTTAATATGGTCCAACCTAGATGTTCCAGTGACCAGTGTAGCTACCACATTTTGAACTAATTGAAGCTTCTGAACTTGGTACAGAGGTA